TGACTTGAACATCATCTAACTATGAGTGGATGACGCTTGTAATTCCCTGGTATAAACTGAGCAAAAGTCTTTGTTATAGCCTTGTAGATTGACAAGCCTTTCATAAACATTAGACGTGTTGTGTATTGATGTTTTGACTGAAGTAGTTTAGTTTGGTCTAAGCATTGTTTTCTTACCATTCCAATGCTGTTAGGCAAATTGAGATGTTCTTAAAGTAATTTGAAAGGGGAGTGAACTTTAGTCTGTGCGATCAACCAAATGTGTTTTTGAGGTAACTAGCTTTCATGCCAACAGTTTACTAACTTCGACTATCTGCCAAAAATATCTTCTTCGAACTGAAGATCATTCCTTCAAAACAAGGAATGTTTTTTTGCTACACTAAAGCATTTGCCATTTTCTTTTTGAAGGACCTGATGTGTAATTTATCTAAAAAAAAAGCTGCGACTTAAGTGTCCGTCGTTCCCATTTTTTTGGTTGCACTTGTAGTGCACTGCGCCTCACTTTTTTTCAGAACACACTATTCACTCTACATATACTACAAAACGGCGTAGAATAGTTTTGTGAAATATGTGAAATGGGACGCACATACTAGACACTATAATAGCGCACCCTGGCAGCAATGCTGAGAAAGCAGCGTGAAGTGCTGTTGTTTTGAACACTTTTTGGAACACAACAACATACCTTGCATTGCTATTTAGGACTTGAGTATGTTGTGTTTCCTTGGGAATGTGACCCAACTGACAGTGGTTGAAATACACTGGAGGGAAGTTTATTTAGATCACCATGTGGAGTAAGTTCGAGGTGGTGTTGTGGGCAGCCTGTGCTGGATTTGGTGCTCTCTGGTGTTATTGTACAAGGCAAGTTGTTCACTGCTGGTGAAGTTCAGTTGCTTTCTACGAACACACCGTGGGAGACATAAACATCTTGTGAGAGTCAAGGCTCACCTTACATGTTAATGCACCTTTTGCCTTATTCTCTGATGAACGCCAATCACAGACTGATTATTCCACTTGCTGTAAGTGTTCATGTAACTGTCATTGCCCAGGGTGACACTAATGCTGCTTTCCATTTACCACGGAAGAGGGATGTCTGTGCTGGGAATGATACAAGTTGACTGTATTCCTGTAAATAGGTCGGAAAACTAAGACTCGTTCAGGCAAACCTTTGTTGTGCTTGCTTTTTCAGAAAACAAACACATAAAAAGTATCTGAAGTATCATGTCCACAAATAGATGTTGGATATTACCGTGTGCACCACTGAGTTTGAGGGTGTTGCCATGTTTGGTTCGATTAAAACGAACCCTGGTGCGATTGCTCTGTTAGTGCGGTTCATTTGTATAAGTGTGAACGCTGCCATCTGAACCCTGGTGCCACCAAACAAGTGGACCGGAACCGCTGAAAAGATGAGTCTCGGTCCGCTTCCAAACCAACTCTGGTACGGTCCGATTGAAATAAGAACACAACACGGACCAAAGACATGTAAACTAACCAAAAACAGGATATGATGTCACAAGATGCGACTCTAAAAAGGACAGAATGCTCAAGCATACCTGTTTTTTCACGATAATGCCCATTACAGTTCGGTACAGGCATTAGATCCGCATCTTGCTGCAGATCTTCGTTTGTTTTGGCATCTTTTTTTATGTTCGGTAAGTTCCGTCGCGAAATAAAACCCGAGCAATCAGGTTGTGAACATATCCCTCTGCCTTTAGGCTTGGTATCTCTTTAGGTTCGGTGTTAAAATGCCAATATGAACGCTAAGCGACAAGACATAATTGTTTTTGTTTTGGTCCAGACCAAACGAACCAAGCAAACCAAACTACAAGTGTGAACACACCCTGGGACAAAGATCAAAACAAGTGCTAATGAACAATAAAGTACTGCTCAGGGGCGGAGCTAGACTCTCAGTACAGTGGGGGCGGAGCTTCATCATGGGGCCCTCTCTGCTACCAAGTCATTTTAAAATTAAAACCGTAAAAAAACCCCGTAAAATATCTGATGAATGCATATGTAATAATGTGTCACTTGTTGAGCCAAGTAAGCTTATATGTTAAATCTCGTTCTTTTCAGAGAACAGTCTGTTTTCTTTCGTTTTGAATTGTTCTGTAAAAGTACACATTTCAAGCTTTCTATAGGCTAGATATATTTCTCAGGTGTGTGAGGCAAGTAGGCCTACTCTGTTTCGGTTCATTTATGACTCACAAGACGAGCTCCAGTTCGCGCGCCGGCGCGATTATCTATCGTCTGCTATATTTACTTCTTATTTATTAAATCCAGGCAATTGGTTGATGAAACATTGATTAAAATTAAGATACAATTAATACAAAACGAAATTCGCCTTAATGAATGGCTTTGTACTTTATGTTTGATGTCTCTGGGAAAGTTTTAAAGCAGTCTTTCAGTGCCGCTTTCAGAGCGCTCACGTCCGTAACGGGGAACTGTCTCGTAACATTGTTTTTCCCTCATAAATGCGAACACAAAAAATAAGACAAAATGAATATTTTATTCTGTGGAGAGCCAGCCCTTCTTCATCCGGTGGGTATTACTTTTTGTACTTTTGCCACCTAAAAGTTAAAGTTTTTTTGTGTCACGTCCGTGTATTTCCCTCATATTAAATATAAAACGCATGTGTAGACTGATATTTTTCTAATGTCTGGAGTCTGGACTCCTTTATTAAGGAGGATAAACAGACGTTTCAAAATGCATTTTCTGAGAATTTACATTTCAAGTTTTTTTACCAAATGTCACGTCCATAATGCTGGAATTGCCCAATTTTAAAGAAATTATCCTCAACTAGTTTTGTGGTGTAGTGTAGGTCTATGTATTTTATTATGTTAACTTTAAACAATAGCCTACTAATAGTAATTTAAAGATGTGATTGGATCTGGACGGGAAGGATAACGCTGGGAATTGGAGTGTGTCGCGATTCTGCCTTCTCACTCACATTTCGGTTTCATATCGCATATCAGCCATCATTTCTACTGAAGAAAATGATAAAAAATAGTAACGCACAGTAATTTGGATCAGTAATTTTAATCTAATTACTGGTTTGGAAATACTAACGCGTTATTACTCGTTACTGAAAAAAGTTACCGGCATCACTGCTGGCGAGGTACCCGTTCCTGTCCAGTGACGCAAGATCGGCGGCGTTTGAGGGGCCCCTAATTGGCACGGGGCCCTGGGGCGGCCGCACCCAAGCACCCACGCTATCTCCGCTACTGGTACTGCTGTTTCACTACATTTAATGCACTGAGCAGCCATAATGGATTCTGAAGTCGGGGGTTGTTGCAACTCCAACTTAAGGGGCGTTCCAGTTAAAAGTTCCTACTGGGAACTATTAATTCCCCACTTACGAGCAGAGCAAGTTCATGGAAGTCTCAGGCCGCTTACTGCCTACTAGAGGAAGATCTGATGGAGTGTTTGATGAATAGAAAAGTAGAAGAATAATTTTGGGGGTGTGGAAAGAGCCAGTTTCAAATCGGTTATACATCAAATTGGATTTCTCTGAGATTGTCAGGTCAACAGATGCCTATGTCAGAGTGCAAACATTATGTTCTCAACTCTTGGTTGCACAATGGAGCAATATTTTCGCAAACCTTCGCATTTTTTCTTTGACTTTGGAGTCAGTATGATTTTCTAAAAGAAGAAATTACTTTTATTTAGCAAGGATGCGTTAAATTTAAATGTGCAAGTTAATAGAAAGAAGAGTCGAATCAACTCTACATGCAGTGTACTTTCACAGAAGTCACACTCTTATCAGGTGTCTGTTATTGGTCTGAATTCAGAGCTCTTTTGGCAGGAACACAAGCATTCATCAGCCCACGTTTCTACAGATACAGGTCAACAAGGAACTGTTATCTGCCCCTGAAAAGCAAAAATCAAGAACTCAAGCTCAGAGTGTGTAAAAAAACAACTTATGATAATGTCTTGAAATAGAAACAAGTGTTGCTTATTAGGCAGTTTCTCAATCTCCCTGGTGCGTTGTACCTTATCAGCAGACTAATATGTGGCCCTTATTACCTCAGCATGTAAGAGGAATGTGTTATGTGAAAAATGTAACCGAAATCTGTGCTGGAGCTGAGACTTATCCTCTTACAGGGGCTTGTTTCTGGAACATTCTGTGTGTGATCTCATATTACATCAGAAAAAAAAGTCAAACACAAAAGGTTTGGTATTGATGGCGAAACTTTTAACCTGGATTTGAAGTAATGCTCTAATGTGGTTCTCTTAGTCTGGCAGTGTGCTAATTCGTAAGTTGGTTATATGTTTGACTCAATAGGTGGTGTGAGAAAAGCTGTGCTATTTTTGTACATGAGCCTATTGTGTGGCAACAACTGTAATGAATTGATTAATTGTTAAGTGTGTAGGTCTAATAATGGCATATGTAATGCCTGATACTGATTACGAAAATCCTATAAGATCATTACAAATCACACTGTACGACATGGATCTAATAAACTTGGATACGACATGTATGTAGACTATACGATGATGACACCGATTGAATCGTAGACTACAACACAAGTTAGTATAGAAGAATAAAACGTCATCCGCCTGCGCTAGTGGTAAACATATAAAGCAAGATGAATCGCAATTGTGGTTTATACGTGCGCGGAAAAAAAGAGGAGAATATATACGCGGACATGGCTAGGGAAAAGAGGCCAACTTGACATGCAAATGGAGCTTGAGGTAAGTAGTTTTAAGTTTTAGAGCCATGTCGCGTTGATCAATACACAATTTCATGTTGCGTTTTTATTGGCTAGTCAATAGACGTGGGTCGTAGGAGCCACGACCACAGAAATCAAAAATCGTACAATCACTAGTTCGAGTCCTGCCTGCAACACTCCCAATTCCCATTCCATCAAAAGAGGCGAAATGTCCTAACCTTTGTCATTCAAGGAATATATGAAAATGTGAAGTTATTACTATAAGTTTACGTTCGTGGCTGTGATTTGAATGAATGGAGCAGAACAAAATCTCACCGTTGTTGTTAATTTGCAGGCGGAGACTAATATCCCAGCGCTCTTCACTGGAGACTCTTGAGGATATTGAGGAGAACGCCCCTCTACGCAGGTATTACCAGTAGGACCATTAAAGTTTTGTGCAGACACTTCTCAACAGTTAGAGACATTACATTCTTTGATTCTGCCAAATTGTGGTTAATTATTGCTAGGGTTACACATCTTATTATTCCTTCAGTTAACATTAGATAAATCTCTATAAGTGATTTTAGTGCTGTCCAATATGATTTTGAAACATTGCACAAAGTTTATATTTAACACAATTGTTTTATTTAATATTTAACGAGACTGGTTTCTTCAGACAAATTCTGGTTTACTAGAAGTGTTTGGAGGGAGTTACACTAGGAAAATAACGATGTACAATAACAGTTAGTGTAAGAAAAACATAAGGTCATAAGTCAAGTCTAATTTATTTATATAGTGCTTTTCACAATATATATTGTTTTAAAGCAGCTTTACAGAAAATGATGTGTAAATTATATTAATATCTTCATGCCTTAGTCACATTTAGCAGATTAGAGAAGGGTGATAATATTGTATAATGATACTAGTAATCGAGCAATTGCAATATGCCATGTATTATGTATCGCCCTACGTGAGTATACTGTACATAAGCAGATCGAGTTGGACATACTTATATATCCAACTTTGTATAAAGAGCTGGGCGATAGTTAAATATTGTGACAAAATAAAAAAAGTCAGGCAGCCGAAATTTCAGTAGGGATCAGTGATTTTTTTTTTTTTTCATGAACAATGTTGATGTTGCTTTGTTTCATCTAGATGCCGAACTTTATCTGGTTCACCCCGACCAAAGAGTTTCAAGAAGGTCCACTTCATCAAAAACATGAGACAACATGATATGCGCAATGGAAGGTATTCTTACATCTACCCAACAACCCACACACAGACATCTCGCCAAGAGCAGCACCCACACGCACCAAGTGTTCGAGAGATAGACTCCCCCTGAATTTATCCATAGATTTCACAGATTTTATTACAAAATTATTTCCCTTTTTTGATGGCATTTTGTATGCAAACATAATATTTCTTCCAATTTAATAAAGTCGTGTCATTTGGGTCACGGTGATTTCTTCAAGTTATACATGTTCCTGGGTCAACATATTCCTGTCTGAAAAGGTAGTCCTAACCCTACCCTATAACCTTATATAACTACCAATAAGTTATCCCTAGAATCAGAGAGAAATGATTGGATGAATAACACTGATGTAGGAGCACCTGACCCCTGTTGTAAGCCTAAACTTGACATAAATCCTCAAATCTGAAATGTCCTTCCAGGATCAACAAAGATGTTGATCCAGGAACATGTTGTACTTGGTGAAATCACGTTCACGGTGTGTGTGTGAGTGTGTGAGAGAGAGAGGTTTTTTTTTGTTTATCCCTAACTGACCCTCTGTTCTTTTAAGATTCAGACATTCTCTGAAACCCAAACATTTTAGGCATGTTATTAGTGGGTATTTTATTATTATTATTTGTGTTTAGTGTTTGCCAGATGCTCTCTTTTATCTGAATTTGAATGTGAATGGGTGTGTTGTAAAACAAGAGGTTGTGACCAGCATAGTTTTTTCTTAAGGCTTTTATAAGTATCTATCAAATACACACACTTGCAGTCTTTGACTTTTGTTTTGTAAAGCTTAACTGCAGTGTTTGATGCGTGAGAGAGCGAGAAAAAATAATATTTTTTTCCAGCTGTGCTTTGATCCATTATTTAGTTTATTTTGTGCTTCAGATCAGTTATTAGCAGTTCACGAACTTCTGAAGGAAATATAAGAACTTGAAAGCCTTGGCATAATATTGCATTCTTAAATCCTTTGTTTGTTTGTAAATATATTCAGTTTCTCAGTGAGGTTTTAGTTTACTTCAAAGAGTGTTTGCCTTTCTTTCTTTTTTTTTTTTTTTTTTTTATCTTTGTTGCGTAATTCTTTCATATACATTCCTGCGTAATATATGACATACTATTAAATATAATTGAATTGCTGTGTATCTCTTTGCCTGTGGTCCTGACCTCTATATTGACAGAGTTCACTTAAATTAGTTTATGTATCATTTTGTCTTTATAGGATAGTCCTTATCAGTGGCAGAAGATCCTTCTATAGTGTTTTTTCTGTCCTGCCCTATCGAGATTGTAGCCAAACAGGGTATGTATTCCTCAGCATGCAAATCTTCTATTCATTATCAACCTTTTTTTATCCCTTCACTTTTCCCATCTTCTCATTTTGATTATTTTTTCCCGCCCTGGCCATTAAGAATGGGTCCACAATTAAACGTTTAGCATCCTCCTTTTAAATAATCATTTAAAAAGATCATACTTCTCTTAAAGTATGTACGCCGAAAGTGTACCTCAAGTTTTTTCATATATTTTTTCATCTTTTTTCTCATTATTCAGTAGTTTTTACACTCTATGCACGGATTGTTTGTATTAGTATTTCATAGCTGTCCAGATTTTTGGTAGTAGGTGTTTAATTTCAATTCATAGAGATTGACCAACAAGCTTGGGCATGCTTTACATAGACCTCACCCTTGACTTTCCCGCTTTTTTTTTTTTTTACATTTTTTTTTTCAAGAACAGGCTTTTTAAATGCTGAATCTGCTGCTTTTCAGCTTATTTATTTAAGGTTTAATACATCTTGCAATCTGCTTTGATATTTAACTTCTAATGGGTTGTTTTTCTTACCTACATCTTAGCATTGCCTGCTTTCCCATTGTTTTAAGCTGAAGGGTGTAATTTATTGCTGTACAACTCAACAACTCAAGCCATTTATAGGTTTATTTTCTTAAGAAAAGTGAGAGCTCTGTGGTGGTGCGTTAATCTGTTTGTTTGAGTACCCTGACCAATCCAGCACAGCTCAGCCAATGGTGTAAATTTGAGGAGGGACTTTCTGTTTGACTGACCAATAGAAAGTGTTCGGGAAACCTGTCTGAAAACAGTTACTTTTGCACTCACATTTGGTGACGCTAATAATTACACAGTTCATTTTTAAAACCGTTTATGCTTTATAGAGTGTAAGCCTATTTGATTTTCTCTTAACCTGAGTAAAGTTTGAAGAACTGAACAGTTCATTGAGCATAAAGCCCCGTTCACACTACACGCGACTTTGTCGCTGCAAGTCGCCAGGCGCTGGCGATGAGGTCGCTAGTGGGCGTTCCCACTACTGGTTGACTAGTATGACATCCAAAAGACAGCGAATCAGCTTTCTTGCCATCCATCACTGCAGGCCCAGGGGCTGAGGAGAAGGATCACGTGCGCTCCACTCCTATTGGTTGTCGCTCGCGAAAATCGCTCTTCATTTGCATAAAGTAAAAAATTTCTCAACTTTGTCGCGTCGCTAGACACGCCCCATCTAGTCGCGCGTGTCGCCGGAAGTCGCCCGCTCACCATTGAAATGAATGGTATCGCGTCGCTTGGTCGCGTGTGAACGGGGCTTAAGAGTGGAGACGCACGAGTTGTTTTCTATAACTTGAGGGCATCGCAGTCATTGGATTAATTACCATCTGAGATTAGGCTCTGTGGGGGATGGTGTTTGACCTTAAGTCAAATTTTATTCACATACTTTTATTTGATCAATAATGAATAACGACTGAACGGCTAGATGTTGCACTATTCATCACGATTCTATTTATTACGAATGAAACCTGTTCATTTTAATGATTTTAAAAGATACAATGAGACAAAGAATGCATGCTTTGTGAAACATTGTATTTGAAACTGGGCAAAGGGCAGCGTTAAATCCCTTTAAACCTTCTTTATATGACTACACTTGCTTTTATTGATGTACAGTGGACAATTGATAAAAGCTTAGTAGAGATAAAAGCCTCAGTGTTTTATAATATATGGTATATGGGTAAATTCAGTGTCTTGCAAAAGTCTCAGACCACTATTGAAAATGCATTAGTTTGCACTATGCATTGCAAAGTTTATTATTGACATAACAGTTTAATTGAAAAGTTTAATTAAAAATGAACATTAACACCAAGATGAAGTTTGGTTAGTCCCTGGTTTGTTTTAATGGCAATAAGAGCAGACGTGAACTCAAACACTTGATATTCTAATGGAAGAAAATAAATCTGACGTTTTCTACTAAGGGATAACATGGTCAATTGTCATTTATTTTGAGATTTTAGTCCTAGAAATGCAGAATGCTGCTTTGTTTTCAATGTAGTCCAATACATTTCGACCCCCATGTATATAACTGAAACCACCCTGTTTTCAATGTAGTCCAATACATTTCGACCCCCATGTATATAACTGAAACCACCCAGTTATGCTGTCAATATGATGAATTGCTATATTGAGCATGATTTAGTCCATTGATGTTTTGGCTTGGCGGATTGGCAGTAAAGTGCACAGTATTGACAGAGCAGTCTAAGTGGGGTTTCCTGAATGTAGTGCCAGTTAATGGACATGTTGTGCTTGCATCAGCGCCACCAGTGGCCGAGGAGCGACAGATCCTCCTGTATTCCTGATGGAATGTTAAACTAAAACACACACAAGGTTCATGTCAGCAAGCTGAAGGAACGAGTCAGGTGAACTGATCATTCGGTTATGGGATGGCCAAGAGTGTTTCTTACACACTGTGGATCTAGAGGTTGCCATGGACTCCTCCTGAAAATCTGGTTTTGTCTTTAAATATTTATTCAAAAACTCTCTAGGGCACCTGTTCATATTAGTTCTTGCCTAATGCTTTTCCATTGACTGAGCTGTTTGTAGGGCTCCTATTACCTATAACTGCTGTCTGTATCCTCACGGGATCTGAGTTTATTGATGCATCACTAAACATCTCACAAATACTGTGCTAACGCCTGTCATCTACTAATACGACTTTGCTTCTAAGTCTGCACATGAATCAATGAGTTCTTCTGCAGTATTTTTGGTTTATTTGGCCATCGCACTTGGTAAGTTGGTCTGTCTCTTGAGTTTTGTTTCTCTTCTTTGGTTATACTTTATGAGTTGACAATGTCAACGTTATTTGCAGATAAGCTAGATAATGTAATGTTTCTGCTTCATATCATCACATGTCAGATAATAATCAAATCTTCTAGTGTTTGCCAAACAAAGTCATGATGTTCGTAGAATTTATTTCGATAATTAAGCTTCATCAATGGGAGAAACTTGTTGAATGACTTCAAAGTGACAGTTAGTCTATAACTGTGTCTTCTGGGTGCTTTTTAGACACTCGGTTGTTGTTGTTTTTCCTTTGAGGCCTTTAGCTATTTAAAGGTAACTGAGCATTAAAGAGTTTGAATTAACCCTCCTGCAGTTATTTTAATAGCATTGATCTAGACCAATACCAATTTCTCCCTGTCATGTCAATGGCTAATAATAATAATATTTTTTTTTTATTAGTCCTGGACCCTGACAAACAAAATATTTATAAATGTATGTATTATCCATTCATCTTGATCATTGGGGCATGAAACAATAATGCAATGCAATTGATTTTTTACTTGATTGGTTTTTTTGTGGTGCCACTGTTTGATTTATATGATTCATTTAATTCAGTAAATAATGACATTTATCAAAATGATTAAGTGTATAAAATGCTAATAGAACAAACACTGTTTAGTATAAGTGTACAGAATTTGGTTTAAAAACAACACTTATACTATATTGGTTTCTTTCATCCTCTTAAAGCCAACATTTTTAAAAATTTAAAAACCTTTAACCTTAATAAAAGAATCCAGCGGTGCAGGTTATTGTGGCAGATGTAGTGTCAGGTTTGCCAGTACAGACTGATGTGTGTGCGTGAGGCTCTGAGCTGTTCTCTTGCCCCAGCAGGGATGTGAAGCCAGAAAGCGGGCGCCAGCGACACCCCTCGGGTGGCATCAGTGCCAAGGAGATGGTGATCGGCCTGGAGGGGGTTGAATTGGGTGCAGATGGCAAGGTTAGTGTACAAATGATTTTTTTTTTGTTAAAGGTGAACTAAGTAACTTTTTTACCTTAACCGAACAGCTTTGGAGTCATTGTAATGTTTATATTACTGATTTCGTGTTGAATGGTGGTCGTCTCGCACCCCCCTGGTGCCTGTGAGCCGCAAAACCACCCTTGCAACTTTGGGCCGGCGAGCCGCCGGCCTCAGTGTTAGGAAGTATCGTGTGATATCAGGTCTCGCGAGGTAACGAATTGCTTTACGGCAAAAAACAGATCTGATAAAATTCTGATAAAATGAGCATCAAACAGAAATAACCCGGCGCCGTATACATGTGGTGTTCGAGGCGCACATACAATACAGACTGCCGACAGTTAAACAGGGCGCGCAGCTCTTAAAGGGGCCATACCTTATTTCCACTCGTTACAGCGTCCATCCTACTGAACAGGTACCGGTGTACAGGGGGAGGGGATCCGGCCGTGAGTGCGAGCCATCTCTGCGTGAGTGCTATTCACCACAGTACAAGTACTCCACAGCGACTCTAGGGGTCGCTGTTTGACAAAAACGGAATTCCTACTTAGTGCTGCTTTAAGTGTTATTAAAGAATATAAAATATATATATATATATATATATATATATATATATATATATATATTATATAAAAAAGAGAACATGACAGAGCTCGTAATAAAACAAGAATCAACATTGCCTTGGCTTTCGGAAATGGCGAGAACTGAGGGATTTGAAATTTGTTTTGAATGCGACGCGGATTTTTATTACTCAACAAATAAATTGCCATGTGTAGAGTTCATTGTAAACATTATGGATTGTGAAAGGTCATTTCATTATGGTTGTTTACACTGTGCTAAAATGTATTTTCAAGTACCGTGTCTATTAATGTGTACAGCTACAGTTACGTCTTCAGCTAGTCAGCTTGAGATCCTTTCAATCTAAACTGGTTATGTCTCTTTAGCCTAGAAGTGAATATGTTTTGTGAGCAGTATGATAACCATATTCATCCGCACATAACCATATTCATCCGCAGAGCCGAAGCACAACCAAAACAATGTTCTTCCACAAAATGCATGCAGTTTTGTTATTTAACCTCTAGAGGGCCAAGAGTCACATAGATTGTCCGAATCTTGAAATAAAAAAATGTAAGGCATGTGGTTGAAGGAACACTGTTTTCATCTTCCCTTGTATAGTCATTTTACGGCCTCTTTTGTGGCTATTACACATTCTTAATCTTTGATCATATGTTCATTAAGATTAATGACACTGTAAATCTCTTGGCAGACAGTGTCATACACACAGTTCCTGTATCCAACCAATGTCCTGGGTCGTCGAAACACCATCGACTCCACGTCGTCTTTCTCTCAGTCTCGCAATGCCAGCCACCGCAGCCTCAGCCTGGCACGTGCCAACAGTAACCAGAGTAGCCTTGATACAGGTGTGTGTGCCAACAGCTTGTCATGGCTCTTTCATTTTCCCTCAAGCTCCCTAATATGTCCCGACAAGGGGCTGCTTGTTCACTTTAATGAGCATTTTGGTAAGACCTTAGTTTAATAATGTGTTGTTTATTTTTTCGAGCAAGGTCATGGACCTTCTTGATTAACCATATTGAGTGCCCTACCAAAATAGACGTCCTCTGTTCATACGCTTGTATCTGAAATGTTGCTGTTCTAAATGTATTGGCTACATAACTAAATTGTGTTCTTGTTTAGACTATTATTAAGCAATCGCAGCATATGTATAGTCTGTTTATTTTCCCTCTCTTTTCTCAAAGGGAATGAACTGGGAGATTTTAGGGACTATGACCCAAATCTTCTGGATGACCCGCAATGGCCATGTGGAAAGCACAAAAGAGTGCTCATCTTTCCCTCGTACATGGTGAGTTATGTCACGCAATGCAAAACTTGACCGATTCATATGTGATTTTTTCCAAGTCTGTCTGTATTTAGTGGAAAATTGCTGTTTTGATGCCAAGGGCCCAATATATGATGATTCTAGCGCTGTCAAATCGATGAATGGCATCTAACATAAACGTTTGTGTGTGTGACAGGGAAAAAAAACACATGCTGTGTTAATTGCGTTAAATGATTAATCGCATTCGTTAGTGCTGTCAAAATTAACGCGTCAATGCAAAATTCGTTAATTTTTCAGTTTAACGCATTAAAAGTATTTCAGCATTCGGTTTTTTCCGTCATCCTTTGGCTAGCATACATTATACGATTACACTCTTATTTATGCAAATGATTTTAAATCATTCAAGACAAGACACAAAAGAGAATGCATTGCGGTACTGGTGCTCGTCTGTGAAAGACTGTGAAACACACACACACACACTCGAGCACACAGAAAGCCACTTTAGACAGTGCTTGAACGGACAAAAACACACAATTATACCAAAATGCCCGTTTTGTCGATTATCCTCGCAAGCACAGTCTTAAATGAGTTAAATGAAGTTCAAGTCTTAAATGAATGTAAAGAGTTGAGAAAATGGGATGCGTGTCAGATCCACATCATGTGCGGCAGGTCTTAAAGTGACAGAAGCCTAATAAATCTGCCGGTGTCTGTCATTAAATGGAATAGTTTACTTAAAATTTTAATTGTTGTTTCAATTTTAATTTTGTTTTTCAAGTTGTTTCAAACCTGTATGAATTTCTATTGCCTAAGGATAATCAAAGAAGAAGAAAAAAAAAAGAAAAAAAAGAAGATAAAACACACTCACTGCTCTTGACTGAAGACTGTGAATTGTTTGAGAACTTTCTTAAATTTCTGTATATATCCTACCCGGACATCTTGAAGCACTGTTTACATGGGTCAAAAACAACGAAAACAATATCTTTTTGTGCATTTTGACAGGGTAAGTAAAAATCTGAGCTGGTCTGACAATAGAAAAGTTGAGCCCTGATATATTGAAGGGCCCAGATAAATGTGATATTCATTTTAATGGGTTTGTGTAGATTGTTTCAAGTTTCTACATTAATTTGGAGTTTAAATTATTAATGCAGAAATTATTACAATATAAAAAAAAACTTTGTAAGGTGCAATTAATCGCGATTATTTACCGAAAAATATGCGATTTAATTTTTTTAATTGATTTGACCGCACTAGATGATTCTCTTTCCTAAAATAAAAATAGTATACATATGATAATCTATATAATAAAAAGCTTTTTTTTATGTAAAAAAGATACTATTATACAGTTTGGGGGGGAAATAACAAGCCATTATGCAGAAAAACATTTAATAGTTTCCAAAAATTAAATAATTGGCTGTTATACTGTCATTGTACTAAGGCCAAAGTGAATTATTAAAATATTATCAGAAAGAAAATTGCTGTGCATTAAATTGACAGCATGTCCTTTTTTTTTTTACATACAATTATTATTATATAACAATATATGCAAAACTTAATTAATGAAGTTTTTAATAAATAAATGTAATAAATATATTAAGTTAACATGTTAACTTACCCCTATTTTTTTATTTACATCTTTATTTCAGATGTTTTCTTAATTAGGATAAAAAAGAAACAAATGTTGATATACATTAAGAGTAAAGAAATATCAGAAATATTTGATGTGAAATATTGAAGTCCATATTAGGATGGCTGATGTTTGATCTGAACACAATATCCCGGGGCTGTTTCTCAAGAAAACAAACAAAAAAAAATGTCAGAATCTCAATCTGTTAAACTCACTGCCCTCTATGAGAAACATCTCAGATATAAATGTCATTTGTGTTTTTTCTTTCATATGGAGTACTTAAAAAACAAAACAAAACAATACAGGTCATGCTACTAGTGTCACTTTTACTGGTTACCGTCACAGGCACATTTGCAGTGTGAACTCGAATCCCTAGTTGGCAGTTAATTAGTAACTTTGTTTAGCAGAAATTCCAGACTGATGACCTTGAAAAATAGTTTTTTTTCTTCCAAACACTGGATATGAATATAAATATGGGCACCAGCTTCACTGCAGGCTATGCCTTTGCTTGTCTTCATTATTTTATTTTTTTCTTGGCAACTGTTTTTTTCAAATAGCAGCTAGCGGCTAAAAGTGATTTTTATCAGGTTTACGTAACAGAAGACTCAGCTCTGTTTGTGTTTTTGCATTGTATAGTAGACACATACTTTGAACTGGAAAACAGTTCAGGAGACAGCCTTGCCCTTCCTTCTATTGGTTATTCAATGCCTCGTAACAATCGCTATTGTGTTCTATGAAGGAAAGTTTGCAGCAAGAATGTATAAACAGAGTATTTAGCCCTGGACATTTACATTATCATCATCTCATAAGTGTATACAACAATAAACATTCACTAAAGTATAGATGTTATGATTATAATAAGCATTAAACTGTATCTCTAGGAGGAAAACCTCTAATCTTGAATCTGCAAACTGTTTATAGAACAAAACCAGACCACATCACATGCTTTGGGCAAATGTTTCAATGACCCGGTGGAAACGGTCTCTTTCACCCATGTGATGTGTGTGTTCTCTCACATGTCTCAATGAATATCCACACTTCTTTACAGACCACAGTCATTGAGTATGTCAAACCCTCCGATCTCAAGAAGGACATGAACGAGACTTTTAAGGAGAAGTTCCCTCACATTCGTCTAACGCTGAGCAAGATCAGAAGGTAAGGAAGCTGTCGAACTATCGAAGGTATCTAACCATTCTGATGATTGCTCATACTGTACATGCTGAACCTTTCAAGGCAAGTTTACAATTTGGCAATGACAATTAAAGCGCGAGAACTGAGCTGTTACTTTCACCTGTTGGACAATTATACTAACATAAATGTATCAAGATGTAGGCAACTAATATTGGTCAGTCGCATCCGACATAAAAGATCAGCGAATGAAACGGTCATTCACCTAAGTTGATGGTGTTTGTGGTCAAAGGTGTTTGTGGTCAGCAATTTGCCTTGACACAAATCACTTTATTTGAATGTTTTATTGATATAACTTGACACTGAGTTATTAGAAAAGAAATGCATAGTGTCACCATTGCATAACATCAGGAACTGATAAATTTTTTTTTAACCAGTTAATTGAAAATATGGAATGCCATGTCTGCCAAAATAATAAATAAATACAAAAAGAAATGTAAAAAAAAAATATTATATATTATTTTATTTAATTATGTATAATTGTATTTTTCCACATTTATTTCTGTGTATTTATGTCTACATTGACTTATTTTTACTTTTTATTTAGTTTTTACAGTTCTTTGTCTGTATGGTTACAAAACGCGACCGCAAATTCAGTTCACATTCGTGTTTCCTAATTTTGCATGCACAACGTGACAATTCAAATGCTTAAAATATAAAGCATATTTCACAGATGCTGCTCATAGATACTGATTAATCATCACACGTCTTAGACTGAATCATCAATTGGAATTTGTTCAGGATTGAACTAAACAAAATGTGCTCATGAAAATGCAGCTAGTGAAACACACACCACACGCCATACATTGTAGAAAAAATTGCCCCATTACATTTATTTCCAGGGACAATTTTTTTCTAACCTTATTAAATGGTTGCGTCATCATGCATGTCAAATTCTTAAATTTAATCAAGAAATTCAATTCGAATAATAAGGGACTAGGGCTGTTACCAGTAAATTAGCATTTATACTTTTCTTATTAATGTATAATGTATTTTTTTTACATTTCTTTTTGTGTTTATATATATATATATATATATAATTTATTATTATTTTTTACATTTCTTTTTGTGTAATATATATATATATATATATATATATATATATATATATATATATATATATATATATATATATATATATATATATATATATATATTACACAAAAAGAAATGTAAAAAATAATAATAAATTATATATATATATATATATATATACATACACTACCGTTCAAAAGTTTGGGGTCAGTGAGAATTTTATTTTTATTTTTTGGAGGAAAGAAATCAATACTTTTATTTATCAAGGACAGAATCTTTTGTAACATTATAAATGTCTTTACTATTTCAAACAAATGCTGTTCTTTTGAACTTCCTATTCATCAAAGAATCCTAAAAACAAAACAAAAAAAAACTACAACTGACAGACCAACAACTGTTTCAACATTGATAATAATAATAAATGTTTCTTGAGCATCAAATCCTCATATTATACTGATTTGTGAAGGATCATTTGACACTGAAGACACTGACACTGGTGATGCTGAAAATTCAGCTTTGATCACAGGAATACATTACACTTTACTATATATTCACACAGAAAACAGCTGATTTACACTGGAATAATATTTAATACTATAACTGATTTTTGTTGTATTTTTAATCAAATAAGCGCAGCCATGGTTAGTAGAAGAGAATTCTTTTAAAAGTATTTAAAATCGTACCGACCCCAAACTTTTGAACGGTAGTGTATATATATATATATATATATATATATATATGTATATATATATGTATATATATATGTATATATATATGTATATATATATATGTATATATATATGTATATATATATGTATATATATATGTATATATATATATATATATATATATATATATATATATATATATATATATATAATTTATTGTTATTTTTTACATTTCTTTGCATTTCATATGAAAAGAACTAGTTTGCAGAAATGAATTGTACTTCCCATCACTACAGGCAAATAACAAAAAAATTGTATCTAGTTAATAATATGAAATGTACGCTATCATTTTGAGCTGGAGGCACAAAGAGCCATTTATGGAGAAACATGGTTTTTAGGCCAATTGTCATGTTTTTTTTAGCTTTCAAATGTTGTTGTTCTTTAATGGGGTGTAAGGGAAGTCAATAATATTTTATTTGTAGTCATCAATACAATATTTAAAATTATTTAAAGGTGCAGTAAGTGATTTCTGAGGAACAGTTGACATTTAAAAAACCACGCCCCTCCCTTCATTGCTCCGCCCCCAACACACACAAACAGGCAATGCAAGAGTGGATGTTTCTTTATCATAGCAGAAGTGAAGCAAAATAAAGCGAAAATGCCAGATGACCGACAAGGAAGAACAAAAATAGTATATATAAGCAAGAGTTTGTTGTTGTATCAACAACTGTATCAAATGTATAGGCAAGACAAGTAGTTTGTTTAGGCATGGTTGGTAGGGAAATTACAAACCTGCGCACACATATTCAAACGAATATAACTATAGAATCAATTTTTAATGCGCATGTGAACGCCATCCGGTCACAGGTTCGCGCTTAAAGTCTGTTTAGAGAGAACGCCGTCGTCTTAGTGGCCCCTAATGCAATAACAAATGATAATTTTGCTGGAAGTGAATCAATCAAAACCAACTTTAGCCGGAAATAACATTATTCAAAATCGCTATAAAGCCAAAACAATCTCTGTTACCGTAAATTGTATGTTTATCTCTGTAAAGCTGCTTTGAAACAATCTCCATTGTTAAAAGCGCTATATAAATGAAGATGACTTGACTTGACTTGTTAGTCACAAGCAGCACACACTCAAAACTAATGTTATTCGCGTATAGAGAAACAACCCAACCTCGATTTCTTTTTTTTAAGAAATCGCTTACTGCACCTTTTAATGTTTAGAAAAACTTGGATTTGAATGATTTAATCATTATTTGACATTTTCTCGTTTTTAAGACGGCTAGCATTTAAATAATATCTTAGCAGTGCTTTGGTGTAGAATAAAACAAAACTCAATGCATTTCTGGAGCAGGAACATAAACACAATCATTACATCATTTCTACATATTCTACAATATCTGGAACTTTACCAAATCTTACATTGATAATCCTTAGAAAGCAGTGAGGAAATGAAATAATTCAGTCATGCAATCAAGATTTAATCCTTAACACAGGGCTTAATTCTTTTCAGAGTTCAGGAAAGGTTGGAAGTAAACCAACCCAATGGCTAAATCATTATTCACGCGCTGCAAGCGTGAATGCACAAAGTCCAAAAACTGCTGCGAGAAAAACTTTAACAAAGCAGGTTATTGTTTTATAAAACATCTCTTTGTTTCTGATGGGCTGCTAAACTGAAAGTGTAGGATCAATTGGGGCAGAGGTCTTCAATTCTGCTTCTGGGGACCTAATGTCATGCAAAGTTTATTCCCAACCTGCTTTATGTGTGTTTTAAAGTCATCCTGAAGAACATGATTACCTCCTTCAGGTGTTTAACTAGAGTTGAAATTAAACCAGGGGTGTCAAACTCAGCTCCTGGAGGACCACCATCCTGCAGAGTTTAGTCTCAGCCCTGCTCCAACACACACATCTGTAGTTTTCAAATAAGCCTGAAGGACTTTATTAGCTGGATTAGGTGTGTTTCAGTCTTACATATCGTCTAACTAGGGCTGTGCGATTGACGATATATATCGGATGGACGAAATAAAAAGTCTATCGTTTCATATTATGCTCTATTTCGTGGTGTTTAATTCGTAATTTTGTCCTTCTGAGGAACCTGTTACTCGGTAATTTATGGTCATACGGATAACCAAAACTGGTCAAGAAATGATTCAAAACTGTAAAATCTTATTGTAAAATACAGGAAACGAGCACAATGCCGTTTTCTGCAGTCTCGGTTTCCTTTCCGTGAACTTTGGCCCCCGTCACAATGAACGGGGAATGCTCAGCGAAATCTTTCCTTTCGTTTAGTTAATTCGTAAGTTAATTATTTAAGTGAAATAGCCTATATTTCTCGGATAGGCCTATATATTAGTTTTATATATTTAGTTTTATTCTGTTTTCTCCGTTCACAGAAGCGCTTTAAGTGCGTGATGTGACGTTGTGTGAATCCATGTTCTACACTATTCTGCAATTTCCGCTGGTTTCAAAACACACAACAAGCTGCATATGACACGCCATTCATATTCACTGAAATGTAGGCTTAATTGTTTGGCTGCAGTTGGTGACATATACAGTATATCCTCGCGAAAACTAACGCCAGTGCATTGCCATTGTGACTTAACTTACCTATGACGACTTGACAGCTGAGCTTGACAGATATTTTCAAAATAAAAGTCAATCAGACACATAGAAAGTTAACCAAACCATGTCTATGCTATGCTGAGCTTATACCGCACTTCTCACACACGTTTTTAAAAAGGCTTTGCGTCAATATCACATTTGCACAGTATGTACTATTTGAATTCGTGATTGGTTGAATAACTGCCAAATTAAAATATTTAACAGAACGATAAAATAACGTTGTTATTGTAATGTTTACATTTGACATCGTAATCATTTGTTTTTCAAGTGTTTTGTATTTCATTCATATTTTATATTTCCACATTCTTAATCAAACATTTGCCCAGAAGTTCTAAATAAAGGGAGAAAAATAATCACGTATGAATGAGTACATTTTTGAGTAGCGTATATACTTTTAAATGTAGAAAAGAAATGGTATTTTCCACGTGGTTAGAACCTGAAGAATAACAACAACTTTAATAAACCTGCCAAGGTACCACCACAATAACACACTGTTACTCTAAATATCATCATTTTTTGACATTATCGGACACCCCTAGTTGAAGCTAAGCTCTGCAGGGATGTGGAGCAGGGTTGAAGACCCCTGATTTGGGAGATATCAAGAGTTTCAGCAAATTGTATTTGATTCATTCCCTGATCTCTTGTACAGGAACTAGAGACAAGCCTTTTAAGGTATCAAAGTTTCTAAAGTATTGTAAAAGTATTTCCAATCTCACATGACATCTGAGTAGCTTGAGTACAGATGAGTATGTGGCCTTCTGTTGTGTGTTCTAGCCTGAAGCGAGAGATCCGTAAACTGGCTCAGGAGTGCGGCTATGAGGAGTCCACGGTGGCCATGGCCTTCGTTTACTTCGAGAAGCTGGTGCTCCAAGGGAAACTCCACAAACAGAACCGCAAACTCTGCGCCGGCGCCTGCGTCCTGCTCGCGGCCAAGATCGGAGGAGACCTAAAGAAACACGAAGTCAAACACCTGATCGATGTGAGTTTATCTTTGCCCATTGACTCTTAGCTACAGCTACTCAACAGATGTCGTTTACCAAACATTTCTTGTTTGTCTCTTATAACAGACTATAATGGGGCCTTTGGGATTAAAAATAGACACATGAGCATTCTTTAAATCTGGTTACTGTGCATTTTTGGATGTTTCCGTGTTGCGTAACGATTGCCATTACATAACAAGTACCCCTGATCTCTTTCCGCCTAGAAACTGGAGGAGAGGTTTAGGGTGAACCGTCGAGAGCTGATCGCCTTCGAGTTCCCCGTTCTGGTGGCCCTAGAGTTCAACCTGCATCTCCCAGAGCACGAGGTCATGCCCCATTATAGACGCCTCCTGCAAAACTCCTAGCGAAAGCCCCCATCAGGGGAGTTCTCCTTCTCTCCTGATCTTCTCACCCCCGAAGCCCCCTACGCACATCGCCAACGTCCACTATCATCTCCAGATGTTGGGAAGAAGACACTATTCCACTGTTCTCTTTTCAGCCAAAGTGACAGCTCTATATCGAACTTTTGTTTTCGCTCTAAGAAGCTACTTTCTAAAGGGAATAGCTATTCCTAGACTGTTGATTTCTCCGCTCACTAAGTGTTCATTTATTTCCCAACTTACAAGTGTTTTCGTCATTTGCTCAACCCCCGTGTTACTCTAAACTAGTATGCTGTTGTTTTCTCCATGAAACACAATCGGAGAACTTTTGAAGAAGCTTCATGTTTGTCTTTTCCATGCAGTGAGTTTATAGAAACATGCGTCCTTTCAACTTGCGCTCTATTCTAAGGGTGTATTCACACCAGGAAAGTCCGATAGTTCACTTGCTTTGGTCCGGACCAAATAAAAAAAAAAATTTTTTTTGGTACGGTTCGCTTTCATACTGCTCTTTTTGCAAGTGAACCAAAATTTGTAAACAAAACCACACGTGTTCTAAGGTCGTCCATTCATTCCAGCGATTAGACTAAAGAGAACGCTCTGTATGTGAATGTCCTGATGCACACACTCATTCATTCATTCATTCCATTCCAATGATGCACACACGACGCGCAGAAAGACGCGCTACAGATGTAATGTAGTAGGCTACAACAGATCACATTCCCATAACGCAACTCCGACTACGGAAGCCTGTTAACTCAAAGGCGCAGTGCTTTCTTGCAATTGGGTCGGTTCATGTTCACACCGTAAACGAACCGTACCAGAGTTCGTTTGGAACCGTACCGAGACCACCTCTTCAGCTGGGTCTCGGTTCGGTTGTTTGGTCCGCACCCGAGTTCGATTGCTGTATTCACACCTGCCCAAAAGGTCCGCACCAAGGGGGGAAACGAACTAGAGTTCGATTCAATCGAACCAAACAAGGCAGGTGTGAATACACCCTAAGTCTTCTGAAGATTTCAGAGGGATGGTTCACCCAAAAAGGAGAACTATTCCAAACCTGTGTGACCTATGACACCTATTCTGAACTGTTTTTGCCCATACAATAAAAGTCAGTGGGATATGCCATTGATTTACATAGTATGGACAAAAAAAAAAAAGACGACATTTTTCAAAATATCAGCTTTTGCGTTCCAAAGAGGAAGGGAAGTCATAAAGGTTTGGACTGACATGAGGGTGAGTATAGATGATGACAGAATTTATTTTTGGGTGAACTATCCCTATACACGTTATTTGCTGAAAATCTCTACTGAAATCTTTGTTGTGTTTCATGTAAATAAGAACTGCATACTGGCTGGGATTACATTGAGTAAAACGAGTCGAGGGTGAGTGAATGATGACAGAACTTTCATTTTTAGATGAACTTTTCACAAGAACTGTCTTTTTTTTTTTTTTTATGCAGAACCAGTTTGGACTGTTTGATTTTGCATTCTTTCCACAGATTACAGTATTCCTGTATTTTTCCATTCTTCACATCTTCCTTAATCCCAAAGTTTGACACTCTGCCAAATCTGACTAGTTTTGATCGCTCTTGGTTGAAAGCCTTAAAAAAAAAGAAAAGTCGAATGATCCTGAACTCGTGCAAGTATGTGACTGTTCTTCGCTGGCGTTTCCTTATGTACTACAAGTGCACTTTTCAGGTCTTGTGTATGGCTGACCTTTATGGCATCTGCAGAAGCTCTAGGTGGAGGGGTCTTCATCTCATTTCTCATTTGAATTCATTTCAGCCAGCATTCCCCCTGTTCGTGTTACCACCAAGCAAAAATATGTTGCAGTGGCATCTCGAGTGGGGCTTTTATACAGTTCTTAAGGGGTACATTTACGTACCCCTGTCGTTTTTCTACCCTTGTGCATTGACTTTGACAGTTTAGTGGTGTGGCTCGCTGCACTCATGGTTACTGTGTCCGTGCTCTATGTTAGAGTGTATTCTGAGCACATTTGTAGTGCTACACTGTATGAAGCAACATCAGGTCATACCGCTGATAATCAATGCTAACTATTTGGCCTAACTAGGCTCAGCAGTGGCGGGAATGAAATCTGTATGACTAATATGCTACGGTGTTGACTAATGCATGCACACCAAAGCAGTGTTAAACTTGCGTTTGACTTGTAAACGCTACTTTTAAAAGAGAATGTTTGATTTGATGATTATTTTGAATCCGTTTCCGCTGAACCAGATATTTTCTATCACCATTGGTGGTACAGATGCTTTTGCGTGTAAGCTGAATTTTAGCTACGTTCATAATCCTGTATGTGTGTTATGTTCACTATGCACTACGCAATTCCATAGATCAGTTATAAACTACAGTTTGAAATTGATGCAAAATAAAATCCGTTCTAATCAAGTATCTAATAGCAGAAGGAATCGAACACTTTTTTTAGAACAGTAACTTGCATTTAACCACTAAATTGTAAAATGAATAATGCCTAGAATGTGAAGTTGTGTGTGTATATATATATAAAAAGAACAAGATTTGGCCTTGTGAAATGCACTTTAGGATTGCTAGCAAGTGACTGGGATGGATGCCTAAAACCGACGAAACATTTGTACGATGCAGATACATTTGTGTAAATATGCTGCTTTGCTTGTTCAATAAAAAGCTACATTTTGAGAAATGCTTTCAGATACTTCATTTTATGTGTGTATGTTCTGAAGAATGCTTCAATATAGCAATATATTGCTGTAATTTTCTTAGGTGCTCAGTTAGACCATTCTGTCATTTTAAATATTTAAACCAGCTTGAAAAGTAGCCTTTGACCCTTTAATTCTGACATTTAACTTAGTTTTTGACTACAAATTTTTTATTATTATTTTGTAATATTGTGAGGAAAACTTTTGGTTTCTGCATTTTTTTTAGTTAAATGTTTATATGATCCATGTGCCTAATTTAATTCCTTGGTTATAATTAAAGTTATTAAAATAAATTACCCTGTTTATTATTATAAGCTAGCTTAGGGTAAATGTTCACATCAACTATGTACTAAAAACTGAAAAGTTTTTAGTTCTAGTTTTTCACATACAAATGACAACATTATAATTTCCATGAAAACAACCAAAAACGCTGTATTATTCATGCCAGACCAGTAGATGGCGATGTCACTTTGTAAAGAAAGTTTTTGTACTTTACACGGAGATAACAGTATAATTTTCAAAAACTTGCACTTTGAATCCCGTTTTTAAAAGTTTGTGTTTTCAGGCCCCCAAAATGCTGTTTTCGTGCAAAACCCATAAGTTTTCAGTATTTAGTTGAAAACGGTGTTGGGTAAACTGCCCCAAAATTAACAGATATTGTAAAATATAGATAGGCCTTAAACCATGAACCATGGTGCAGGGTTCATTTTCATTAAACAAGAAATGCTGTGGAACTCCATTCTTTACTTTCTGACGAAGTTTTGGAAAAAAAGGAGAACTACAGAAAAAAAAAAAATCACCAACATAACCTTCTTGGTAATTTCAACATTCATACTGAAACTTTCAGCTTACATCATCTCACGTCCTTCAACACTCAAGCTTCTGTTTACAACACACTACAGTCTCATTATCTTACAGTTTATCTTGATATGTTCAACTTCTTCCTAATACCACAGTGTGTTCTTCCTCCCTCCTACCAGGGACCACGTTTAGCTCTTTGCCTGCCGATTAAAATTCACCTGCCATAAAACTGTATTTTGCATTATTTCTATGACATTTACAATTATTTATTGTTAGGTTGCATTTATTCAAAGCAACTTACCAATGTGCAACATCACAAGCAATTTGTCAGGTAAAGGTCTTTAGAAAGGTCAACAGAGGTTTTCTTTAATGACTTGTAAACCAAATTTCCTTACTAAAGCTATTTTTATGCATTTGATGCTTGTCGAACATAAATTTTTGCCAATGCTTCTAACTTCACAAGAATGTTCCATTACTCTACCCGTTTTCACTTTACTCTGCTTGAATTGACTCCAATTTATCAGCAGATTCCCCGAACTTTCTCAATGAGACTTAATGCCCTCTGTCTCATGGTCTCAAAGCGTTCAGACATGCTAATTCACACTCCACACACAGCGTAAGGAGATACAGTCTGTTCCTCAACTGACCTTCTGTACAAGCCCTACTCCCTCTTCACGTGTATCCGCTACATTCCCTGTGAGTATCTTCAACAATGCTGCACTACTTGCGTTTGGCCACTGCACTTTCTCTCATGTTGTACCTCAAATGCACTGCACTAGCAACCAGGAACTGCCAGAATCAAGTTCAAGACCGTGCCAATGGCATTACCTAATGCTACTTCCAATCCTTCATCAAACCGTACACCTGAGCCAGGTAAATGTACTGGTTATTCTGGGTCGATTCGCAACTCTTTCCCATTTGTCCATGCACGTGACGGGAACTCCTAAGGTGATAACAGAGCACAAGCGACTCACCAGTTACACATTTCACACTCACACTAAAATCAAAACACCCAAGTACGCGACTGCAGACATGAATGCTAGTCCAATGCATTGCAAGTGTGTGGTCCGGTTACATAACTTAGTGTTGCAGTAATGGCGCTTTTCCACTGCATAGTACGGTTCGGTTCGGTTCGGTACGGCTCACTTGTGGTGCTTTTCCACTGCATGGTACGGTACGGTACGGCTCGCTTCGGCTCGCTTTAAATGGTACCTGGTCTCTTGAGGTTCCAAGCGTACCGTACTGGTACTAAAATGTGACGTAAAAACACTGCAGATCACTGATTGGTCAGACAGAATCGTCACTACCAGCGTCATTGGATTTGCGACACGAGACACTAAACCCGCTAGATTTAAATAACCAGTAGACAACTTTAAAAAGAAATGGCTGAATCGTGGTCAGTGGACGAGGTGCAGACGTTCCTCTCGTTGGTTGCCGAGGAGCGGATCCAGCGAGAGCTGGATGGGGCAAAACGGAATGAAAAAGTGTTCCAAGAAGTAGGTCAGCTCTTAGCCGCACACGGCTATCACCGGACCTACAAACAGTGTAGGGACAAAATAACGATCAGTCCCACCCACTTTGAAGGGGTACTAACTGCGGTGGAAAAGCAACTGAGCTAAAGCGAACCGAACCGTGCCGTACCGAGTAGGGCTGTCAACTTTAGTCGTTTAGTCGACTAATCGGTCGATGCCGTCTTGGTCGACTGACGTTCTTATTGGTCGACCAGTCGCTTTTTTTTTTTTTTTTTTTTTTTTTACCAATAGAAAGAATTTTTCAATGATTTACTCCTTGATATTTATTCCTTTATAAGCAGTTATATATTACTGTATTCTAAATATAATTAGCCTATGGTTTATCCCCAACTTTAAATGCTTTAATTTAGGCTATTTTGTAACAGCGCCACAGTTTAGCGCACA